GCCCAGTGCTTCAGAGAAGTTTTCATAAAGTTTAATATATTAACTATATCATTTTTCTGTAGTTCGGCATTTTGAAAGGTTTGGTCCAGATAATTATCAGAAAAAGAATATTTGATTACAATGACTATTGATTATTAATTTAAATTTTTATTCAATAAGTTTATTACAATATTCAAATATTAAACTATTATTATTAGCACAAAAAATATTAGATTGTTTTTAATTTGAGTTAATATTGAAATACTTTATTTTTAAATATTATAATTTATTAAGTAATTTAAAAAATAAATTTTAATTACTAATGATTACAAAAAAACTTTATTTATAATAGATTACAACATATATTGTAACTACAGTATGGGACAGTTAAAGACATCCAATCAATATATAAAAATACAAATTTTGTTGCTTAAATAATCAATTTTAATTGGCTGATTTTGTATAATTAATTTAAATTAGTTAAAAATACATATATGTTTTCTTTTTTTATATTAACTGCTAATTTATTGAATTCATATAAACTTTAATTCTTTATAACTTTTTTAAAACAAAAAATAAAAAAAATTCCTCTGACAGAATTGTAGTTTATTCAAAAATCTATTAACTTGTTAGAGAGTTTTTTGATTTAGCTCATTTTAAAAAAGTTATACCACTTTAAAGTTTTTATTAATAAGCATTGGATATTTTTGATTGTCCTGCACTGTATAAAATATACAATAATTTTGAAAAGTCCTAAATTTTTATTTCAATAAAATTAATTAATAATAATTAATAACAGGATTAAAAAAAATTACAGTAAACTTTAAGGAATATTAATTTATTTTAAAAAAAATTAATAAATAAACTTACAGAATATTAATTTTAATCTGATTTTGGTAAGTATGAAGAGATGATGGGTGTTGAATATACAAATAGAGTAAGGGATAAGGTACATATTAGTTTAACCTTAAATTTCAACTTCAATTTCTTTATTCTTTAAATTATCAGACTCTTCAGTTATATGGTATAAAGTATTCTTTCTGTGCTTTTGTTTACTTTTTTGCTTCTACTAACAATTCTTTAAATGTATTACTCTTACTAGATATTGGTTTTGAAATTTTTGCTGTCATATTTCAGACCTTCTCTTCAGCCACTCTTAATATAAATGCCCTCAACCTTAATTATTCCAGTATTTCTACTATCTTTTCCTTTAAATCTTCTAAATTGTTTTTTAAAACAGAACACTAGCATCACACATTATATTATACTCATATTGGTTCTGTGTTCTTTTAAACTTCTTTTTTAAGAAGTTTACTTTAATTACACTAGTTTTATTTATTTTTATCATCCATTGTTGTAAGTTCCTATTTAAGACATTTGTAAAATATTCTTTTAACTTTACTTTAATTCTTTTTTCCAATTTATTTTTAATATAGACAAAGAAGATGTTACTTTAATTATTAAGTTCTTTTTATAAGAGATTATATCTTTTTTTATAACATTTATCAAAAATTTAGTCTACTGATTTTCTTTTTTCATTTTCTAATTGTTCTAGATATCTTCTAGGTTTCTTTCTAGGTTCTTTTTCAGGCTTATTTTAGAAATCTTTTAGGTGGTTTACCAGTTCTATTTTATTACCATCCATCTATATACTATACTTCTGATATATAGTTCTTAAATCTGATATCTATAAATGATTTTAGTCTACTATGCAACTGTTATTCAGTTATGAGATAACTGTCTCACTACTAACTTTGATTAACATTTTTTGAATTTCTTTTATTATATTTAACTTGTTAAAAAACTGGTTTCAAAGAAAGCTAACTTGTTCTTGTAATGAAACTAGACACAATATTAAGCAGAAAATTCAAGAACAAAGAATCTACAAATTATCAAGTTACTCAATACAAATACAGTAATCACTAGTCCCATGACTTACAGTAATGTTCTACCTTGTAACTTCATTTAAGAGTAGATCAAATAATACATTTTAACTTTGCATAGTTAAAAATAGAAATGATGTAGATTATTTTTAATAGTAATTATGATTTACATATAAAATTTGTTTATATTCACAAATTTATATATAAATCTTGTGTAACTTAAGAAACTTATAAGCTAATCCAGAAAAACTTAATAATATATAAAATAATTTTTTTTAAAACAAAATAAATTATACAATTTTATTAAATAATTAGAAGTTTTAGATTTATATACTATTAAATTTTGGTAACAATTGAATATAATACTAAAAAGTTTTATTAGTAATATGTTTTTTTTTATATAAAAATTTTATTTACTATAAAAATCATATGACAAATGATCTACGTCACCCCTACCCTTAAAAATCTACCTGATTGGCTGTCGATCCTTGAAATTTGTTGACTGCCCATAATAAACGCTCTACACAGAATATTTATAATTTTTTGACAAAAGAATTAAACAAATTGTTATGATAATTATGGTTTAAAAACAACCTAATAATATACAAACTAAAAATATTAATGATATATAAAATATAAAATATAACTGGCAAACAAATTCACAATAAAAACAAATAAAAACAAAGACAATTAATAGTCCAAGATACAAAATAGGTATAGCTAGTATTGTATGTTTTTGACACCGAAACTTTTTTGAATATTTGTGTCCATGTTCAAAATGTCCAAATTCTAAATATTTAGAAAATTATAATAATAAATATATAATTATATTTTCGTCTTATTTTAAATATTTTTGTTTAAAAAGTCAAGACGGGTTATTATAATGAAACTTTGCATAAACCTAGTTAGTGTGGTTGCAACTACAGAATTAATTGACTTTTAATATCATGTGACTATATTTGTCGAATAACCAGACTAGATAGAATATTTCGGGATTGAACTAGTTGACGACTTAATCGATTAGTTGTTTTAAAATTTTCTAAATCGATTAGTTGGAAAATCGTCAACTAGTTGATTCTTCAACTGACGATTTGGATCACTAAACCTAGTTTATTTCTTGTCAGAAATGTTTAAAGATGTTTAACGACAACACTTGAGCGTAATCATGAAATCATCAAACTTAAACCAATTAGAGCAGTATTGCAATACTATAAATTTACTATTATAAATCTCATTAGAAGCCAAATCTCATAGATATATCTAACTTATCTCACCTATCTCAACATTTAATTCTCTTATAATTTGATCGTAATCCAAGTTAATGCAATTATACTTTTGCAAATCCTCGTTGCTTGCCATACAAAGATTACGTGTTGCCGCTATCTTCGCATGCAACTCTTGAAAAAACCAACACATAAGATTATTAAAATTTATTTTGTTGTGAGGAAGAAAGAGCCAATTAGTAAAATCTTTTTGTTTTGCCTCGCTCCATTTTACCAATTTTCTGTCCTCTATTTTTCCCCAACTGACCATCGAATCATCTGAGCGTAGATGACACGGTGCCGAATCCAATACATGATTATGTTTGTTATTTGTTCCCCGAAGACCTGATGGTTGATGACATGAATGATGCTTTTTTGTATTATCCGTATTTTCTTCGTGTCCTTGTGCGCCCCAGCAGATAGCACCACAAAACATGCATGACTCTGTACAGCCTAGCCTTTCCATTACAATCTCATATTCAGATGGAGCTTTAAACGTCTTACGATATTTATACTTCCAACGCTGACTTTTTAACGTTTCCAATATGCTGTCGCGCAATGAATCCACATCTGGCTCATTTGTTTCGTCTACTTTATGCATTTTATATTCGCATCCTTCAACTTTATTCAAATAACTTTCAACAAAATTTTGAAATTCTTCAATAGATTTGCATTTACTAACTTCAGACATAACTTCCTTAAATTCTTGTTCAAATACTTTAATATATTCTTCGGACGAAATTTCAGGACAGCTATTATCAACTTCTTTCTTGAACCACTCAGTTATCTTGACTTGTGGATTATCAAAATGCTTAAGTGCATCTTCAAATTCACGGATTTGAACTTTTTTAGCTAATTGTTTAAAATATTTGAGCCTTGCATGTTCAGTGCTATTCATCCAATTGAGTGTAAGTACCGTACGCATTCTTTTCTCATTACCACTATTCACAGCTTTTATTCTTATTGCTTTAAGTAGATATTCCGCAATGATATTCCCTTCGGATGCATATGTAAAACCATGTTCAAGCCTGTGTTTAATTAACACTCTATATTCACTTTCCTTTCGTTCAAGTATCTTAAGCGGATTATGTTGTCTATCCCACTTTTGCTGGACGCATTGCATTTTCTCACAGAATTTTTCTAAGGCAAACAAATGAACGTTCCATATTATATTTTGATCATGATCTTCGAGTTTTTGGTTTACTTTTGATTGGAGTGTGAAGATCATACCACTTTCGAATTTGACAGCATTTTTCTCCTTTAATATTTCATCAGCTAACCCAAGAAATTCATTTGGTTTAAAGTGCTTACTAATATTACCATTGAGTCGTGCAGGAAATTTATCCCTTTCTATAAATTTACGATAAACTATTTCTGCGTGTGCATAAGCTTCTTTGACTTCGTTTTCGATTCTTAATTCGACTGATGATATATAATTCTTGTCACCTACGCGTCGCCGCAGCTCATTCCAAATATCATCAGAAATTTTCTTATGTTCATACTCGTTGAATCGTTTAGATGATCGTCTTTTCAATTCTGTTTTCAAATGATTTGTAATTACATCCATGAATTCTGTTGTACAGCCCTCTCCTATAAGTCTAGCTTCAAGAATCTGGAGAAGTTGTACCTTAGTAGCTTGGCGTCTACGTTCGATATACCGATCGATTGTTTTTAATGTATCTGTTTTACACTCTTCTTTATCCTTAAGATAATTTTCCAACTCAATCCTTGTTTCTGAAACTTTCTTGCACTTATTACAATGATAACTACTTAAATCGTGATTTAATTCTTCTTCAATAATTACAACGCATTCTTCACGTAAGTTAGAAGTATTAAAGTTTTTGTCAGATGACAATATAGTGATCTTTTGTCGGATGATATCTGAACATTGTTCCGTATGAGCCTGAAAGGCTGCGTTAATTGCCTCTTTTACTTTCACAATTAGTCTGCCCCGCTCTATAAATTCGTACATTTCTTTAAGATTCTTGAATTGAACTGCGAAATGTTCATTCTTGACAGACTTCCAAAAACTATTAACGAGTGAATACCATTGTTTGAATGAAACTATGCTACGTGAATGTTTACAGGCATTAAGTATATCCTCATATAATTTCGTCACATCCTCATGATATTGTTTTGATGGAGGTGCATATGTACTTGCGCCATCTCTAAACGAACGAAATTGCTTATGGAGTTCTCCTTTTTGTATTCGCTCATCCAGAATTTTCAAGCAATCAGAATTCATGATACCAACATCAACAAATTTTTTGTCCGCAAATTTCAAAGCATTTTGAAGAGCTTCACAAAACTCTATTTGTCCTGAAGATGTTTTGGCTGCATTCCGTTCTGTAAGATGTTGTACCATAAAAATGTCTGGTGCAATTTTAGCTTTTTCTAGACGTGCCATTGCAACAATCGCAATTTGCAAAATTTCTGTTAAATCATTCATGTATTCTCCAAGGACATTAATAAGCGATAAGTTACTTATTCCCATTACAAATGTCGCCAGTAATCGATCTTTCTGCGATGCATCTTTTTCATTTATTTTTTCTGGTGCACCAAGACCTTCGGTATCAATAAGTAGGATGGCATCTACATTAAGCTCTTTTTTAAGTTCCTTTTCAAAAAATAATAACCTCATGAAAAGGCCCCGAGTGCAACGACCAATGGAAATCGCAAATCTGCAAGAGAAAAGTGCATTCAAAAGGGTAGACTTCCCAGATGACTGCAGTCCAAGAATCGAAACAACAAAAACTTTCAAATCAGGGTATATTATTGATACTTCTTTGAAGATGGATGACAACCAAGCACCTGGCATTTTACCAGAATCACCATCGATTAGCTCGATGACCTGACCTTCAATGAATAGTTCAGCACACGATCTAGGAAATTGTAATATATACTTTGGAATATTAACAAGAGATGATTCATATATTTGTCCCGCTTCACGAAATAAATGTTCTATGCCTAGGCTCCTATCGTCTACCTGTTCTAGAGCATTATTAATTCGTGTCTTATAATATTTTACTATATCCTCATTCTTATTCGTTAAATCAATGGTTCGCCTTAGTTTTTCTCTTAGTAACAAAACATCTTCTCTAGCTTTTGATGATTCTTCGACTGAAAGATTATAAAGATCTCTTTCTAAATGAGCCAAAGCTCTCCTCCTCTTTTTGATTGGTAATACCAAAACTGCTCCAAAATACTTCATTAATTCTTGTAAAAGGTTATTATTTTCCCACAGTTCACAATGATCCTGGGTCATCCTAGTATGTCCTTTCTGAAACTTCATAATATTTTTAGTCGTAGCGCAAGAATATCTCTTAATAAAATCTACAATGAGTTGCGACTCATTACATTCGATTCCATTTGCCAACTTCAATGGGTGTCCCGACATGAAATTGTTGAATTCTGGTTGAATTCTGGTTTCAGATTCAAGGGAATTTTTGAACATAGAACGCACCAACTCCAATGTCTCATCTTCTGTTAAGCGTCCAGTTTCAATCACGGGATTTTTATTCTTATTACCACAATCCACCATAGAGTAGACATAATTTTCACTACCTATGATATTTTTCAACTTTTTCCATTCTTTCACACTCACATTTGGCATGATGAAAACCAAGAATTTTGATCCCGCCTGTTTTAGCCACTGAACTTGTCCTTCGTACTCCAATGCGTCTCCATGCAAATTTGCCAACAACACAATTTCATTGGTCCCTATATTGTAATGATTTTCCATCACATTTTTCCATAAACTATCACTACAAGTTTCTTGAGTAAGCCATGTAAATTCGATAGCCCCAGAAAGAGTGTAAGGTCTTCCTCGAGATGCACCAGGTTCACAAATTGATGAAAACATGTGCTCTGTAGCCATTAATTGATTTAAAATTGTACTTTTCCCTGCTTTTGAATTGGATCCGATTCGAATGGCAACAAGAAATCTGAATGGACTTTTAAATAGATGATTTTCAACAATTGTACCTGGTTTTGTTTCCCACTTGATTGTCGGACCAACAAGAAATGGCAGCATGACATTAAATTGTTTCGCATGCTCAAAATCAGGCATTACAAGGGGTAATGCCATTGGGAATTTGGCCATTGTGTGAAGAATATCTTGAACTACTATACAATCAACAATGCTAAGCAATCCAGCAATGCAGTCAATTCGAGATAATGGGTTTTTGTTTTCATTAAAATAATTTGAGGGTTTATCGGATTTGTCATCAAACGGATTTGAATCATCAGAAAATGGGTCATCAGAAAATGGGTCATCAATGAATGGGTCATCATTGGATGGATCAAATGAGGGTTCCGGCTTAGATTTTTTCACTAATCCTGAAATGTTACTTGCTGTAAGTGCACTACATCCCCACATCTTAACCTTCTGTATGATATGGGGGAGAATTTTGATTATACAAAATTCAAGTTGATTTTCAGAAATAGTCGGGACCGGAATGATTTTACGTACTTCGAGATAATCTCTTGACGTTATTATGTTTATTTTCTCTCCCATCAGAGACTTCCAATTTTTATGTACTTTCAATACTTTATAATCCGAATCTGGGTCATTTGGTGGCGGCATTAACGGGCTAGGAATAGGGGTTATTTTAATTTCTATATCCGGTTGGTCATTTTTCGATTTGAGTTTTTCAAGTGCAAACTCAATTGCTTCTTGGTCCCAACCCTTGGTAATTTTGTCTTTTGAATCCCAGTTTCCATCAAACAAAACACCAACAGATTCTAGAGATTTCTCTAACTCTTCATTTTTCGTAATCGATTCTCTAAGAATCTCATTTGGTAATTGATTATAGTAAAGTAGAAACTCAAAATAATCTTTAACTTGATCAATATTTTTCAATTCAAGTAGAGGAAACTTTTCCTGTTCGTGATGTTCTTTAAACCGTTCTTTCAGTAGTTTTTGGACATTCTCCGGTATATAACTCGGAAATTCTTCAATATTGAGTGATAACGTTGACATGACGACTAACGGCATACGTGAAGCTAAATATACGAATCTAGAATTTTGCCATAAATACCTTCTATGTGTATCTGTAAAATCTTCTGTTGACAGCAATTTAAATGAATTTTTAATATCATTTTGATTATCGATATTTCTTATTTTATTCAATTTCTCGTGCAGTTTATATAATTGCGGATCATAATGTAACTTAGCGAGTAATGAAACAAGACTTGGCAATGATTTTCTATTCATGAATTTGTCAATCTCATTCCAGTGACTTTTATATGGCTCTTTAGACAGTGGCAATCTTTTAATATAACTTTGAATAACTTCGTCCATGAGAACGTCAAGAAAATTTTTATTGGATGACTGAAGTGTTGATTTCAACAAAGAAATCAATTTCATAACATGAAATGATTCCTTTTGGATATTTTCATTAGAAAGCTGATTAAGAATACTTGTATATCCATCACATCGATTTTTCAGATCATTTTCCAATTTCCATACCTCAAAATTTGTTTTAATTTCATTCCTACATTTTGGATCATTCGAAATTAATTTGATAGCATCCTCAAGATTTATTTGAGCCTTATTATCATCAAAGCTTTTTAGTACACTTTCCACAGCACTCTTCGCGTACTCTATCTTTGCTAAAAATGGGTCGCGTGATTTTAACCAAATTTGCAAATCATTATAAAGTGATTTTGAATCCTCTGCACATAATACTTTATTAAATTTAGAATCTGCAGAGCTCCATCCGTATTTGATCAAAAGATTACTCAATTCGTTACCATTCTTAATAGCCAGTTGTGCAATTGACGAAATTATGTCCAAATCTTTTCCAAGAGAAGCACTGCGGACAACATTTAATGCATCGCTCAAGATTTGATTGGGTACTTGATTAAAAGGTGATATTTCATTTATTGGTTCTATCTTATACATTTTTGTTTGATCTACAATTTTGATAAATTCTAAAGAAAACTGGGATCGATCAGGATATAATGAATGATAGGTTGAAGCACAAGATAGTACTGATAAATCTTTGCTTTTAAAAATTTGCGAAAGAATTAGAAGATCTAATTTATCTAAGCACACTGCTTTAATCTCTCCGTCATAAAAAACAAGTAACAGAGGTGCCGCTTGTGAAGATCGAATATTGGATTCACCAGCTATCCATTCAATTTCTGAAAACACACTTTTTGAAACAAGGTTTTTGATCTCATAAACAGCATCCAATGCGGTATCTGGTGCATCTAATGCGATAAAAGCTTTCCACCGAAAACCATCATGGTTAGAGCTTCGAATTTTTTGAAGGGAATCTAAATATGAATGAGCAAAATAGATTTTAAAATCAATTTTTAACAAAGATATAAGATTATTTAATTCGGAAAATTTTTCAAGCGTAAGTGGCAATTGGATATTTGAATGTAAGGCATTCAGCATATAAAAGCGGCTTTCAATAGGATTTCCCATGCCCACAGCAGCACTCAAAATTTTGAGGATTTGAGGAATCTCAACTATGCTGTAAGTTTCTGATCTTATATTATCTTTGATCACCAAAGAAAAATCATTCGAAATACTTGGTAAAGCTATTCCAACTTCAATATTTCGCTCTTGTAAAGCATTGACAATTTTGAAAAGGCTTTGGAATGCACCATTTGTGGAATTTACTTTCGAAGAGTCTATGCCAGTCCATAATAGTAACTTGACATTTATTCCAGAATATAACCATTCATTCAATTCATTTGAATTTGTAAAATAAATAATCTTGAGATTCATGAGCGCCGCGTCTCTTTCATATACACCGTTAAGCTCATACTTTCCGTATGATACAAATGATTCAAGCTTGGCGCATACATTTACAATGCTGAAATCACTTTTATCATAATCATGTATAATTTGAAGGAGTTTATCAGAGTCACATTCCGCGATTTTATATTTTTTTAGAGTTTCACACGCTCGTTCAAAATAATTATTTGTAACCTTTTTTAAATTTTTTTGATATTCTATGATATCTTTTGACAGTTGGGATTGAGAATCAGATAAAATCTTTTGCAGACGATATTCTGTTCTTATTACACAGTTTTTTACATATTCTGACGATTGATAATCTTTAAGTGCAATAAGGGTTGTACGAAAATTTTCAAAGATACTGTCATTTAACTGCTTGTAAAGTTTTTCAACCTCAATTTCAAGAAACTGAGAAACAGGGACAAGGATAAACCGAATAGGTACACCATAAATATCTGAACCAATAAACTTGTAATGTTGCTCTTCTTGAATGCATGCATCTACATTTTCAATCAAGTTGAACATTTGATTTATAGTCGTTGGTTGTTGCTTCATCGGTGGTTTAGAACTGATAGTTATTTGCATATCATAATCATTTGCATTTTTTGAGTCCAGAACTTCCAAACTAGTTTTTAAAGCAGCATTTACTTTACCAAAAGGTATGCCACCAATTAATCTGCCATTAATAGCTGTATTTTTGCTTGTATCGTTTCGTCTGATTCTTATATCTGCACTCACTCTTGCTCCTAGAATTATACTACGCACGACATGAGTTGCCTTAATTTTTTTTTCGAAAAGATTATTTTTAACAATATTGTCCATCACCTCTTTTGCTTGAGGAAGCAATTCGACCAAATAGTTATCAAGGTTGTATTGACAGATAAGTTGTTCTTCATTAGAGTTTATAGAGGACATAGTATCGTAATATCCACTTCCTTCTACATTTAGAATACCAGATAATATCTCAATAGACATCGCACCACTTATTTTTAATGTCGTCAGTTTGTCTTCAATACTCTTAACATGGATTAAATGATAATCGAGATTTTTTAATGGGTGAATAGCCAAATGATCGCTTGTAAGTTTTTTTGCGAACAGATTGTAACCCGCAGGCTTAGAAAGATGACAATTCCAAAGGGCGCCCAAAAATAAAGCATCATTTTCAATATATGAAAGTGTGAAAGTTGAATCTTCCACGTAACTAGTTTCTCTCATACTCATTTTCAATATAATAAGAAATTGATACAAAGTAAATTTGAATGTCTATTTATATTTTTTCAACATTACCGTTCCATGAATATTGAATATAATTGATATTGGCTTGTAAAACCAATCGGAGAACCCCCGACTTGCTTACGCCTGCCACATCATGTGTTTAGGTTTGTACATTCGTGTAAAAAACAGTTTATGTACTATCCATGCACGTATAAGATAAAAGTCTTATCTAAAGCTTATGTTTATAAACTTTAAGGCAAATGTAACTCAGTACTCAGTGACAATCTACTTAGTTTTGGCCCTTTTATAGAATTTAAATTGTCAAAATAAGAAAAACTATCACTTCTATTAACTTTTCCAAAGTTGGCTTTGTGATTAGTACTTAGACCCGGAGTTAGTAAGGTAAGAAAAAAATTATATAACAGGACTTTCATGAAAGAGTAATGTGCGCACCAAATTGTGATGACCGTACTGTACATAGATGGTAATCTAAATATATAGTTAACAGAACAAACTACCACTAACTACGCGAGCCGCATTGAAACAGTACAGTATATGACAAAATACATAAATACATATATCGTATGAATGTAAAATAACCTTTAAATAAAGATAGCCGCAGGGGATGTTTAACGTTCCACAGTCAAGCAATTGGGTAATGACAATTATTGACTACGGAATATTAAAAATCCTAATTCAGGTACTCGTTTGCGGAATACTAATTGCAACAGTGCTCAGAGGAAAATTCTTTTCAGAAATAATTTTTACAATTTTTGACCTAAAGTTATTTTTACGTAGTCTATGGGAAATGCACCAATCAGATGATCTACACTAAAACAAACGAATATGCGCAACCTTAGGGTTAGGGTAGTGACTAAAGGAAGGCTTATCCTATACCAAAATTTCGCAAGGAATTTTTTATTAGTGCGCAGAAGGTAGTTTCATAGACAAAATTTTGAGTTATCGGCAGTTATTTAAAAAACGTGCGATTTTGAATTATCAGCAGTTTGTTAAAAATCGTGTGATTTCACGTTACACCTGATCTAGAGATCTTATCGGCATCATTTATTAAAAAAGATCGGGTAGCTAGTAGTCTATAGTCCGATGATAACAATACAAACTAATATAAATTGTTTTATTACAGAATTATCATAATTCCTGAAACTCCCGATAAAATTAGTCGGTTAAGTTTGTGATTTCGGCATAATAGATTCAATGAGGAATTTCTACAAGCGATGTATCAACTTGAAAGGATTATTGTTGTTGAAAAGTTTGTTTGTTTCGTTAAATGGGAGTCTCTAAACACTCCCATTTCATTTTCCGATTTCAAAATTTTGATATACAAATAAGATTTTTAATATTATTAATATATAACTTATTAGCTACTGCTCTGTATAATAATATTTAGGACTTATTTTTAGATTTTTTTGCATCGGTGCAAGAAATCAAAACCATAATCACTCTTCATAAAGACAAAGTTACGTTAAATAACGAGTAGCAAAGTGATGGCGCAAAAAATTGGCAGTGACGTGACATACAAGCCACTCAGATTTTCTGTATTCATGCTATTAACTTATTATCCGAAAAGTTCTTTATAAAAACTTTTTTGGACCCCGAATTATAAGCATAAAATTACAGCAATTATCATTTTTCCTGGGACACCTAATTATTCTGCCGATTCGATAAGTTATAGATTTCGGCATGATCGATGTAATGTTTATTATTTACAAAGATAGTCTAAAACTAGTGATGACAAATCACAGTTTTTTAAAAAATTTGCACGAGATCCGTGGAATATAGTAAAATTTTTTAATTTTTTATGAATTTTTTTTTTTGGGGTTTAAGGTGAGGTTTTGTTTGTATCTTTATTGGTAGTTTTAAGATTAGTAACTATGTGAAGTTATTATGTATAAACAATGATTCTATATAAATATTATGGTCAAGGTCAACACTTGCAGCTAGAGTTGATTATTAAACTGTTAATTATATAATTAGACTTTTAAAAGAGAGGAAATGATTGTTTATATAATAAATTTTATCAAACCTTTTTTCAACCAAAAATGATCCATCTTACTTTGCTCATCTTCCATGTTTATTCAATTTTTTTTTAGAATTTTTCAGAAAGTCATATATATTCTAAATTTTTTTTTACTAAAAGAAATAACAAAGCAGAATAATTTAAATCACTAAATCAAATTGGTTTGATCTTATTCAATAATATTAAACTTTTAAATTTAAACAAATTGAATTCTTTATTTGACAAATATTAATAAATAAACTGTAAATTGCAATTATATCAACTGATTTGTGAAAGTTGATAAATAAGAAACCAATCTGTCATAGCTCTGGTCAAATTTGCAGATCATTTAACTAAGTTTGAATTTGTTTGACTTTAAATCTGGTGAAATGATCTGCAAATTTGAACAGAGTTATGACTAGTATGACAGGTTATATTGGTGAGTTCAAAAATGAGGCAAATGTGATGACTTGTTACTTAAAAATAGGTATGTTTTGAAATGTTTCTTAAAAATACAAAAGACAATTTTTCAATTTGACATTGGTCAAGGTAATCAATAAGGAGTGTTACAAGATAAGTATTATGATTTTAAAAGAACATATGTTTATTTTACAAGTTAAAAGTTTATTTTACAAGTTAAAAAAAAGGATTTTAAAAAGATAGATAAGCAAACTCTTTTCTGAAAATCCCAATTTTATAACAAAATTAGAAAAACAAAAAATTTTTTTGAAAAAACTAAACCAAAACATATTTTAACTAATTAACTAAATACTAGCATTAATAACAGTATAATATAAACTTCACCAGAATTAAATAAAGTTACAAGAAAGTTTTTTGCACTTCAGTCTCCTTCTCATCACTGTTACTGACTAAGTTAACAACTGAAACTAATATTAGCAAAGATAACAATAAGTCCCAAGACAAATATTCCAAACAATATACACAAATATGATTTATTCAAGAAACTATGAATAAACAGAACAATAAGAAGAAATGCAAAACTAACAGCAAAATTGCTATTTCTATATAAGCAAGTAATAAAAAAAATACTAATGAAAAAAAATTAAAAAAAATAAAGATTCTAGTATACTCCTAAAAAATCTAGCAATGATATCACTACACACAACAACAACAACCACAATCTCAAATCTTCTCATGAATAACTAAACTGAGCAAGACCCAATTCAGAACCCAAACAATATAGATGCTGCTTCTCTTTTGTCAATACAAATAGTAAAAACAAACAACTTAGCTTTATCTAACCAAATATCTCAGTTCAATTCAGATGTCAGCACACTAGAACAATAACTCAATATGGAAATAGAGCACACATCAACAAACATAAAGGATGACAACAATGAAGAAACCTAATCAACTGATACAATACTTAAAGAACAGTCATAAAAAAAAATATCATACAGCCAAGCACTAGTTAAAAACCTTCCAGAAAGAACTAGAAGAACTTCAAACCCTTATTTCAAAGCTGATAAAAAAAAGAATGAAAAAATCATACATAGACAGCCTTAGAAAAAATTAGACAAGAAAAACTAGAATCATTTGATGCAACAATTTGGATACAACAAAAAACCAAGAATGCATTAACCTTACTTTAAAACTTGAAAGAACTAATTAGATACAAGTTTTTAACAAAACCAACTACTATTCATATTCCAATAACAATAAAAGCAAAATTCTTCTACAGATTCACAGTCTTTTTTAGAAGCTTCATTCGAGTTTTAGCAATTGTATCACAACACTAGAATGAATTCAACAGCTTATTTTCTAATGCATTGGATACATATAAAAAATAGCATAACATATTAGCTATTAATAAAAAAAACCAGGACCAAATTTTTAAATTGTTGTGTACAAAACTGGCACTAGATTACTTAATTAACCTGAACTTTAATCTCTTAAATACTTGGAAAATCACAAAATATATTTTCTATTTAATTGGTTTTGTGAAAATTCAACAGAATCTAAACTTTAAAACAACAAGAAGACTGTCTTAAAAATAATGAATGAAATGCTAATTCTCTTGCCTAACAGACTAGAGCTTATTTCAGACTATTTGTCTCAAGCTATTTCTTTTGACTTACCTATTACAAGCTAATGGGTTCTTATACTAGCAATTAGAACACTGTATTTAATATTCTCTTTTGATAAGCTACCAGATGAATATATTGCAGACAATCATGAAAATTTACCAGCTTCATATAAAGACTTAAGAAATGAAGTACAACACTTCTTTCCTATTATAGACAGAACTGAGCTAAAAAAGCTAGCTTACTATAGAGAAATCTTACAAAAATATTATATTTTTAGCAAATTCTAGCTGAATAATTTGATTTACCAGTACCAAAACACCCTTTGCCTTCCACTTCACAAGACCTAACATCCAAATTAAGAGAGAAATTTCTTTTTCTATCTGAAAGTCAAGATGATTTTAAAGAACATATCAGATTACTACACATAACTATTTCTTTATCAGACTATCTAATAACTATATTATCTCTCAAAGATGACTATCTTTAGATCCAACAAATTTAAAAATATCCAATTTTACATTTCATTTACAGAGCACAGAAGAAGTAAATGCTTTTATCAAATGTATTTCATGAATTTATAATATCTCATTATCATTGCTACAAGCTTATTACAACTTCAATTACACAGATTGTCCAGATCTGCCTAAAGATGCCAATTTAATTACTTTAGTCAATCTAACTTTACCAATATCAACCTCTAAAGAGCTAAACATAGCAGTCAAAGCATTACAAGAACACTATTATTTTTATGTCATACCTTAGTCTTGGATTTAAATAGAAAGAAAAGAAAGACAACTAAAGACTGGATCAGTTTTGCCCAAACTATCACCAACAGTAAAACAACTTTGTTTGGCCCTTGAACAAAAACAAATTACAAATATATACATTCCAGTACAGAAGCATCATAATATTCAATTAGTTATAGAAACTCTTAGACAAAA